GGAGAAGACAGGAGGAGAGGACAGAGAGAAGTAGAGAAACAGCAGGAGAGGGGGAAGGACGAGGAGGCGGGCGCAGTGTTGCTTAGATGAGGGACCTGAGCCCCCGGGGTCAGGAAGGCAGGGCTTCAGGTGGCCACTTGCTGCCCACTGGGAAGCTGCGTTCGAGGGTCCCAGAGGTACCCAGATCCCCTCCGCAGAAGGGGATGAGGCACACGCTGGGGGCCATAAATCTGATAACGACCAGGGTTCTTGGCCTTGCTCATCCAATAGAAGTTGACTAGAGGCCCGACAAGAAATTCAGGCACGGCTTTACTGGGGCCCTGCTGCAGCAGGGTTGGGGGAGGGAGAACAGACAGCAGGTTCCCTTGCTCCCTCGCTCCTGACCTCGACCCACTGCACAAGAGTCACTGAGGTTGGAAGTTGCAGAAACAGGCCAGCCCCCGTGCCTTCTGTCTGGCAGAAGTCGCCCTGGCTGGCATCGATGCAGTTGCTTTTCTCGCATCCAGAATAGAACTCTCTGCCTTGGCTTCCCTCCAGTACCAGACCGTGGGCTGCACCGACAGCCCATCCACTTCTATGCTGAGAAAGTGTGTTGAATTTGGGGGGCGGCGGGGAGGAGCAGCCAGGCACTGGTGGTGGGAAGAGGTTAAGGAGGAAGGCTGGAAAGCTGGACGACCATCCTGCCACGTCCTCGGAGCAGGGCGGCTCACCACCACCCCCCACAAGATTCCGGCCGGTGAGGTAGTGGGACACGCATACTGACGGCCCAGCTTCCCATCCCCTGGGGTGCTTTTTAGAGGCAAGAGTGGAACACGTTCCACGCAAATAAAGCCAGTCTGCAGGTGCTGTGCACACACGCACCACGTGTGTGAGAAGCACGGGGTGCGCCTACACCTGCCCTGCACTTGGTTTCAGTCACTTCGTATGAGGATGTAGGGCATGTTGAGTGTGGCCACCCCTCCTCACGGACTCTGTGGGGCGGGCAGGGGTGGCTGTCATCTGCAGCAGCCCGTGGCGACCGTAGCCAGTTCTGTTTAGTGGTCAGCAACCTCACAGCAGCCTTGGGAGCCGGACACACTCCAGCAAGGGCTTGCAGGAAACCCAGGGACAGGGTCCCCATGTGACGGCCAGGGGTCCCCTCCTGCCCTGACCTGCATTCTTCACTGAGCGCGCAGAACCTGGTGTCCACACTGGGAGCACTGGTCCCCTTCTGTCTTGGTCTGTGCCCCCACCCCAGCCTTCAGCCTCATGAGTGATGGCCCAAGGCGGAGGGGAGGGGTGCCTTCTTGACCGCTTGCCGCTCCCTCCTTCCCTGGCGGGTCTGTGGTTTGCTGGCCCTTTGGGGTTAGCCAGAACACACGTCCTCTCTGACATCAGGAGCTTCCCCAGCCTCTGACTCCTCTGCCCAGGCCGTGTGCACGGGTAAAAGGGCCCGCGTTTTATGTCCCTGGGGAGCACCTGGCCCTGCTGCCTGCCTTTCCCATTTGAAGCTGGAAGGGGAAGAATATGGCAGGATGCAGAGGGAACAGTCCAGGGGGTCCTGGCTGAGTCCCCGGTGCCCCCAGCTCAGGGCGCCTGGGGGCAGCATCCTGCTGCTGAGCGTGACCTCAGCTCCTCCGGCCCTTGAGTGCCTGTGCACCCGCCAGGACCCCAGGGCGGACTCTGACAGCGCCCCTGCCCCCCCAGGACTGCCCCAGGGTCTTCTCCGCCGGCCTGGACCTGACAGAGATGTGCGGGAGGAACCCGGCCCACTATGCCGAGTACTGGAAGGCCATGCAGGAGCTGTGGCTGCGGACGTACCTATCCAGCCTGGTGCTGGTTGCCGCCATCAACGTGCGTGTTCCTCCCCGGGGGCCGCCTGGGTTGCTCACTGTGGGCCAGCCCTTGGGGTGGGTGGACACAGCCCTCCCTTAGAAAGCCCTCAGAAAGGAAGGGGGCAGTCAGGGAGACCCACAGAGGTCAGCTTGCCTTTACAGACGAGGTGAGAAGAGAGGGCCATGTGGTGGGGCTGAGTGTGGGGACGGGAGCCAGGGCCTGTGGTCACCTCTAGGGGACATTGCTCTGGCCTAAGGCAAGGGTGGGGCAGAGGCCAGGGGCCTGAGCCGGCTGGAGAGGAGGGGGGCCACGCTGGGCGGCCGGCCACCTCCATGGGGACAGTGGGTGCAGGAGGTGAGGACAGGGGTGGCCCCAGGCCGTCTGGGGCAGGATGTGAGGTGACAGCCCAGGCCCGATGGGCGATTGGTGTCTGAGGGACCGGACAAGAGCCGAGAGAGAAGCTGCTTGCGGCCCGACATGAGCCTGAGGGAAGAGGGGTGTGCAGGTCCTGCTGCGCATGCTCCCCAGATGGGGTTGGTGCAGCACCGGGTGGGTGGGTGGGGGTGGCACCCGGAGTGTGCCTGGGCCCGGCCCTCCGGAACACTACAGGGACCAGCGGTCTGGCTTTCCCTGCAGGGAGCCTGCCCCGCGGGGGGCTGTGTCATCGCCCTCGCCTGTGACTACCGGGTTCTGGCTGACAACCCCAAGTACCGCATAGGGCTGAACGAGACCCTGCTGGGCATCATCGCCCCCTTCTGGTAAGGCTGGGGGCCAGGCCCACCGCCCCCACCCCCTGGCCTGGAGCCCCGAGCCCCCACTTCCAGTTGGGCGTCTGTTTCCAGGGTCAAAGACGCCTATGTGAACACCATCGGGCACCGCGCCGCGGAGCAGGCCCTGCAGCTGGGATTGCTCTTCCCGCCAGCAGAGGCTCTCCAGGTGGGCCTGGTGGACCAGGTGGCGCCGGAGGACCAGGTGCTGAGCACGGCACTCTCGGAGATGGCCCGGTGGCTGGCCATTCCAGGTGAGGGGTGGGCGGGGGTGGGGGAGCAGCTGTGGGTACCGGTGGGCCGGCAGGGCCCCTCCCCCTCAGCCTGAGGCTCCTGATAAGACCAGGAGTTCTCAAGCCATACACAGATGAGCCGATCATAGTAGCAGACTGACCTCGTGTCCTGCGACTGGTGTCACAAGTGACAAGACGGGGAATTGAGGGGTGAGGGCGCTTAGGTGCTTAAAACAATGGAAATGCATTCTTGCACAGTCTGGAGGCCAGAGTAAAATCAGGGTGTGAGCAGGGCCTTGCTCCCTGCAGAGGCCCTGGGGAGGTGCCTTCCTGCCTCTTTCATCTTCAGGGGCTCCAGATACTCCTGGGCTGTGGCTGCATCACTCCAGCCCCTGCCTGTGTCTTCACACACCTTCTCCTCCACATGTTTCTATATCTCAGACCTCCCGTTCCTTCTAAGGACACCTGTCCCTGGATTCAGGCAGTGCTTATGGTGGTTTAGTCGCTAAGTCGTGCCCGACTTAGCGTGCTCTTCTGTCCATGGGATTTCCCAGTCAAGAATACTGGAGTGGGTTGCCATTTTCTTCTCCGGGGGATCTTCCTAGGGATCCTACCTGGGTCTTCTGCATTGTGAGTGGATTCTTTACAAACTGAGCCAGCGGGGAAGCCCTCCCTGGATTTAGGGCCCGCCCTGAATCCAAGATGATCTCATCTTAGTTACCTCTGCAAAAACCTCTTTCTTAATCAGGCCACTTACACATACCTTTCCGGGGTCCACTATTCAACCCACTACACAGACAACTGGAAACAGCTTGCAGGTTCTACCTCTGGCAATAGGAGTGCTTATGTCAACAACAGTAGAAATCAGGGGTCAGCAGACTGTAAAGAGCCAGGGAGATGTCCGGCTTTGCTGGTCACACGGTTACTGCCATAACCACAGCACCGGAGTGAGGGCAGCCTCAGAGTCTGTGAACTAGGAAGTGTATCTAGTGTTACTGGAACACCAAGCCACTGAATTCTGAATTTCAGGTGATTTTTACATGTCACAAAATACTAGCCTTTAAAATTTTTCTGCCACCATATATAAAAATGCAACCACCATTCTCAGCTCTTGAGCTGTGGGGGGCCAGGTTTGCTGATGCCCGAATACCGCACAGCCAGCCGTTAGTGACGTGGTAAAGGAATAGTTAGCGACACAGAAGATGTTCCCGACAATATAGCTGAGGGGAAATAACAAGCTGACAAGGCAGTTTTCACAGTATCGTCCTGTAAGTTTTTAAAAGCAGTCAGTGGACAGCAGGGGATGGGTTGTTTTCCTTTTCTTCCTTTTGCTCACTTGAGTTTTCTGCCGGAGTTTCGGCTAGAACTGTCTGGGGCAGCTCGGCAATACCGCTGTCCCAGCGCAGAGCCCAGGTCCTCACAGGCGGGCCCTGTCTTCTTCAGATCACGCACGCCAGCTGACCAAGAACATGATGCGAAAGGCCACGGCAGACCGCCTCCTGAGGCAGCGCGATGCCGACATCCAGAACTTCGTCAGCTTCATCTGCAGAGACTCCATCCAGAAGTCACTGCAGGTGTACTTGGAGAAGCTCCGACAGAGGAAAGGCTGAGGGCAGGGCTGCCCACCAGGGTTCTGGCCAAGCCCACCCTAACGGACACCGTGGCTCTAGAGGACTTAAGTCCGGTCTTTTCCAATTTAAAATGACTTCCAGCTCTTTGTTTTACCCGTCTCCCTAGAAGGCCCTGATCCTCACAGCCATAGTCCCGAGGCCTGCTGCCACTCCCGAGTACACTTTGTGCCTGGCGGGCGGGCAGGGGCACAGCTGGCAAGCAGTGTCTTGACTGGGGATAATAAACTGGCAGGTGGGCCCCTCCTGGACCCTGGCAACATCACCATTGAGCGCATGTGCTATTTTTTCCCAGAGCAGAATAAAGTCCTCAAGTTTCCCTTTCCTGGCTGGTGGGACGCTTGATTGCTAGAGGCATAAGGCCAGGTAGTTTATGGGTCCTCACGAGCCCCACAAGAGAAGGAAATGTGAAAAGACCTTGGGCCACCATGTTTGGATGGAAAACCTGTACAAATTTCAGAGAAACTGGGTAACTTGGAGAGGAAGAAGGGAGGCATTTTACATTGCAAGTGTCCTATATCTTATTTCAGAATGATCTAGCAAGAAAAAGTCCAGACTCTTTGAAACAAAGGTTTTACCCTTTAGTATAATTCAGGCCAATTAAATCTTGCCAAAGATGAGATGCTTCGAAAACCAACCTCATCAGGTCCCTGTCAGTTACACTGTGTACCCCAGTTCTGCGTGTCCCCCACCCTTGGGATGGGCTTACCCCAGGCGCAGGCCACTGTCCTCCCTGGCCAACCTTTGCCCAGCTCAGGGCTCCTGAGGAGGAAGCTACCAGGAAGGCACCTTTGAAGGGGCTGTACCACAGTTGTTGGGGTTCTCTGGGCGGAACCCTCACCCAGCCTGCCTGCTCACCAACGAGGGGCTCTCCACAAGTCCCAGGGCTGCCAACCAGCTTGGGGCAGGGGGACAACCTTCCTGACCTCCCCCCACCAACTGCAGTGCTGGGTGGGGCAGGACCCTCGTACCCACAAGTGCTGCTAGAGGCCTGCAGACCTGGGAACCGGGGCTGGAGGAGGATCACTGAGGATTGGGAGGGTGGCCTTGCACATCCACGCGCCGTGTGTGTGAGAGCACTTACCCCATGTGCACTCAGTTCAGGTGCTTGGAAGCACTTAGTTTACACAAAGAGCAAGAAGCTTCTGCCAGTGAGCACAGGCACTGTCTTCTGGAGCCAGCCCGGTCTGGACATGGTTGGTTCCCAGCAGAAAAGATGGTGTGGGCAGGCCAGGCTGTCCTTGTCCCCTAGGTGGGCTGGGACCAGGGATCTGCTGGTTGGCAGGATCAAGGTCTGTGTACCAGAAGGGCTGAGCCCTAAGAAGGGACCTGGAGGAGTCCGAGCCCACATGTGTGTGGGGCCCTGGCTTAGCGTGTGCTGTTTATTGAGCTCAGTTGCGTGCCCAGCATGCTGGAAGGGGTTTCTCACAACCTTATGAGGTAGGTGGTGGCAGCCCATTTCACAGATGGGGAAACGGGCTCTGAGCGGTCCCATCACTTGTCCAGGCCCAGCTGCCCGTGCCCTGCAGCCTTGCTGGGGGTTGGCTGGCCACGCTGGAGGAGTCCTGTGGGGCTTGCTCCTGTGGCCAGAGTCTGCAGGCTCTGCCCCAGCCAGGGCCCGGGGCTGTCAGTGGGACTTGAGGGTCACCTCCACAGGAAAATGGTCACTGATGGCCAGAGCCTGGAGGGAGAAGGGGCCAGCCTGAGACCCTGCTGAGCAGCCACCCCGGGAAACTGCCCCCCACCCAGGGAGGGGCCCACTGGGGGGTCCAAACAAACCGCTGCACCTGGGGAGAGGCGTTGGCGTCTACGCCAGCTGTGGCCTGTGGGTGGGCTGGGAGCACAGTCTCAGGACCCCACTCCAGCGACGTAAAGAGCTTCCTGCACTGCCACCCCAGGTTTGTTCCATTCGACCAGACCTGAACCTCTAAGGGCCTTTTCTAGAAACGCTAGAGAAAAGAGGGGAGTGCCTGGTTCCCTGAGGTTGGGATCTGGGTCCAGCACTTCCTTCGCCCCCGGTCCTACCCCGGCCTCAGCACTTGCCTGAGTCTGGTCCAGGCCGAATTCCTCCTGGAAGTCGTGCACAGTGGCTGACTGATGCTTCAGGCTCTTGCGCAGGCGGGAGCCACAGACCACAATGCGGTCGTAGGCGCAGTCGGAGTTGCCCACCGTAGTGTCAGCACTGTCCGGGATGAGCCATTTGAAGACCTCGCTGCTGCGCAGGCGGATGGCCGGCCAGTCCTGTGCTCGCACGTATTTGCAGTCGGCATTGAAGTCGCCCAGAAACAGGATGTCCTGCGGGTCACGGCGGGGCCGAGACTGAGGCTCTGTGGCCGACCCAGGAGCACGCCTCCCGGGTGGGGTCGTGGGGGCGGGGCAGGGCCTTACGGACAGGGGGCACTTACATCGGTGCCCCACTTGTCAATCACGTCCAGGTACACGTCGTAGAGCGCGTCGATCTCGGCCACAGCTTGGTGCGGCGCCGCGTGCAGCGGAATCAACACCAACTCCATGGCTGCTGCAAGAGGGGCTGGGTGTCAGGGGCCGGCGGCGGGGGCGGGGCCGGCGGCGGNNNGGGGGGGGATCAGGCGCGCCGCAGATCAGCCCGAGGAGCCCAGCCGCGACCCCGCCCCGGGCCCCCAGCCTCACTTGCGCGATGACGCCGCCGCAGCCCGGGTCTGACACTTTGCTGTCGCCGAAGCTCTGGATGTTGAAAGCTCCGATGCGCAGCGCCTGGGCTCCGGCAGCCCCCAGCGCCCAGAGCGCGGCCAATAAGGTCAGGGGCCCGCCCATGGCGCGGAGTGGACGATCGTAGAGGGACAGACACGGCCGGGCGTGAGCGCGGACCTGAAGTGGGTCACACCAGCCCATTCTTCATCTTGGCCGTGGGGACCCAGGGCCGGGTAGGTCCTGCCTCCCACAGTCTGCCCGCCGCAAGGCACCTCCGCCCCCTACTGCTTTCCAGGTCTCCCCAGGGTGCTGCTGGGCTCACAGCCTTGTTCATTCTCCTCCTCCACAGCGAAACTGAGGCCCCAATATTGAGAGTCCATTCCCATCCAGCCCCCACTCAGCACTCCCACACTGAACGCACCTGAGGGGTGTGGATAGGCTCAGGATCTGCGTCCCAGTAGAGGTCTGAGGTCCAGGCTGGGGGTGTGTCTGTGAGACAGACTGCAAGGGCTGGTGCAACAGCAGCGCTGGTGCCCTGGCTCCAGGGGTATTTGTAGCCCTGGCCCAGGGAGGCGCCAGACTGCGCTGCGTCCCGCCCCCTCCATGAAGCTTGTGGCTGTACTCCTGGCTCTCACCTCTCATCCTACAGAGGACCTCCCCCCACACACAGGGGTGGTGGGGACAGGGAGGCAGGACACCCCCCCTGAAACTGATCTGGGGCCCCCATACCTATCAGAACAGGGGCTTAAGACGGCTCTGCCAGCCCAAAAGCTGCATCGAGACTGGAAGAGGGCCAGCCATGCCCATAGTCCAGGGCTTGTTCTTATCCCCACCCCTGAGAAACTAGGTCACCCAGAATCTCCCTCAAGCTGCATCCCTGCAGGGAAACTAAGGCCACCCAATCAGGAAAGACCAGCCCTGTTTACAGCCCAGCATCTTCTGCTGCTTCTCCACGTCATCACTTCAAGGACAAAGCCGAGACTCCTGGCTCTCCCGGCCTCATTCCCCAGCCCCAGGATCGGAAGCTGGCAAGCAGTACCCCCACCCACCCACTTCGATGGGCCACAGGAAGCGGGGGTCACGGCTCCAGCTGAGCAGGGCAGAGGCAGGAGGCTGCCTGTCCACATGCCAATGACACCTACACATCACCAAGGTGCCGCCAGCCCCGTGGGAACCCTGGGTGGACTGGCCAGGCACCAGAGCCTCGAGGGTGGCCTGGGCAGGCGGGGACTGCCCCAGAGGGGCACTGCCAGACACCAGTCCCTGAGGCTGCTAATGCTGCAACATCACAAGCGGCGGATTTTCACATTTTATTGTAAAGCAACCAAAAACTATTTACACTCCCACGTCGCCTCTCAAAGTCTGAGTTCTAAGCCCCTCTTGCCTGTACTCAGCCAGGCAAGCACGGGCAGGGAACCCAAGGTCCTCGGCTCCTGCCCCAGACCGGCCCGCCAGCCCCTGCAGGTGCCCATGCTTAGACAATGACCGTCTGCACCTCAAGCTGGCCCTCCGGGGAAGCAATAACCAGCTCGCCGGCATGCTCCAGGATCTCAATGTCCTCTGACGAAACCATGGTCACAGTGGCCTGCTCAGCGCCACTGGTGCCTGAGCGGGCAGTGAGCACAGTGCCCTCGCTGATGGCCGAGGCCAAAGTCATGGCCACCTGCTCCGTCAGGCTCTCAGGGGTGGCGATGGTGATGGTGTCGGCCGCGGCTGCCTCTGGGCCCAGCCGCGCCTCCTGGTCCATGGTCACATTCTGCACAATGATCTGGTGCCCAGTGCTGGCCTGGTGCACTATCTGCTGCACCACCTTCATGATGTGACTGTCCACCTGCGGGTGGCCCACGGCTCAGCCCGAGTCCGATGAGTGTGCCAGGCCACCCCTCTGCCCATCCCCCAGCCCCTCACCTCCGTCTGGGTGCCCTCGATGATCTCCGTGGCTTCACTGGTCTCTGCATCATCTGCGGTGGCCTGGATGGGGGTCAGAGGTCAGCCCTGCCCACCCCAGCCCTCACCCCAGCCCGGCGGGCCCCCGCCCACCTCGATGATGTACTCCTGCGTGTCAGCTACCACGGACGAGAACTCGACCAACACGGTGTGGGGGTCCTCGGTCAGGACGGCAGCGGCTGCAGCGGGGCTCTCCTCAGACACCAGCAGCTCCTCCACCTCCAGCAGGCAGCCCCCTGTGGCAGGGAGCTCAGTCAGCGCTGGTTGTGGGCACCCCTGCCAACCCCACCTGCCAGCTCCCGGCCCTACCCTTGGTCCGCAGGTGGCGGTTGAGCGTGCCATGCTCGGCAAAACCACGGCCACACCTGTAGCATTTGAAGGGTTTCTCGCCCGTGTGGTGCCGCACGTGCCGCACCAGCGAGCCCTTCTCCCGGAAGCCGCGGCTGCAGAACGGGCACACGTGCGGCTTCTCCTCCAGGTGCGTCCGGAAGTGTACCTGCTGGGCATTCTGCGGAGACCGCCCCCCATCAGGGCTGGCCTGGCCTCGGCTCAGCCAGTCCCGAGGGCCCAGGCCAGAGCGAGGGGGCAGGGAACCAGGGACAGAGCGGGCTCAGGGAGTGGGCAGCCACAGGCAGGGGTCCAGGGCCCACCTTGGTCTTGTAGCGCTTGCCACACTCAGGACAGGGGTAGGGCCGCTCGTCCGAGTGGACACGCCGGTGGCCACGGACATGGGCGATGGTCTTGTAGAGCTTCCCGCAGTCCCCGCAGCGGAAGCGGCGCTCATGAACATGGACCTCCTGGTGCTTCTTGAGCAGGTAGGCCTTAGGGAAGGCCTTGCCGCACTGTGGGCAGGTGAAGGGCCTCGGCCCTGCAGCCATGCTCCACGTCAGGCTGGGACAACCACCCGAGGGCCCCCACCCTAGCCAATGGCCACCCTGGCTGCCTGCCACCCACCCAGAGGCCCATCCTGGCTGCCCACAGCTGTCCAGGACCAGCACCCCTGCCACCCACCTGCATGGCCTCTCTTGTGGGCCTCCAGGGTGGCCGCCGTTGGGAAGGTCTCACTGCACTGAGGGCATGGGTGGGTCCTGGGCACAGACGAGGCCTCGCCAGCCACCTGCTGGGGGACCAAAGCACCCCTCCAGCACCCATTGTGGCTGTACCCCATCAGCAGGGCCAGGGCCACACCGAGGCACCCCCACCCTGGGAGGCAGTAAGCAGGTCAGGGGATGAGTCACTGCACACGGTGAGGAGCTTCCCACTGCCAGGGACGGCCAGGCAGCCAGCAGCAGCTGGGTTAGTGTGTGACTTGGCACCCCAGGTCCAGCCCCCCAGAAGGAGCCCACCGTGGGGCAGGGACCTACTGTCTCCACCTGCTCCACCTCCAGCAGCGGCAGTTCCGGGGCAGCATCTCCGGGCAGCTGAGGACTGGACACGGTGGGGGTGGCTGGCCCCAGGGTTCCCTCCTCCCCGGGAGCCCGCTCGAGCACGATGCCAGAGTTCTGCATGGCCTGGTGCAGAAGGTTCTCGCGGCTGCCCTCGCTGGAGCAGGGAAGCTCCTGGGGGCCAGGGGGCTGCAGGGGAGGCAGAGGGAGGGGGCTGGCCAGGCGGTCCAACATTCGACACCGCCTGCTAGCTCCACAGCAGGCTGCCCCCAGGCCCTTTGCATACCCCGCGCCTTCACTCGGGAAGACCCCCCACACCTGCCCTTGCCCCCAGCCCACTCCCCCTCACCCCTCCCTGCTATGACCTTGGTCTCTCATCTCCCTTCCCCCGCAACCAGACTGAGCGCAGGAAGGCAGGCCCAGGTCAGTCCCATTCCCAGCAGAGCCGGCACCCAGAACAGGGCCCGGACTGAGCAGACAAGGGCCGCCCCTGACCTGCCCCTACCTCCGGGGCGAGGGCCTTCATGCCCAGGGGAAGCTCTTGCATCTGGACGTGGACTTCATGGATGACGGTGCCCTTGGCATCTGTCACCAGGTGAATCACTGGCGACGTCTCCATGGGCTCGCCTGCCACCGATGACGGGGTAACAGCCCCCACAGTGGAGGCGCTGGACCCTTTAAGGCAGAACCAAGAGAGCCCGTGAGGACACACGGAGGAGGGTAGTACCAAGAGCAACCAGGGCCGGCCGGGGAGCCCCCGGCTGACCTGCAGGCATGTCCTCTTTGCCGACGACCATGTCTTTGCTCATGCTGAAGCGGATTTTTTCTGTACACGGAGTGAGAGACTTCAGGTGCCGGGTTAGTGCCCCCGACTCCCGGAAGCTCTTCCCACACTTGGCACACTTATAGGGGCGCTCATCTGTGGAGAGAATGGTGTCAGCCCCGGCCTCACACCTCCAGGAGTCGGGGGCCACAAAGCCCAGGTGCCGAGCCCCGGGGTCAGCGGCAGCGCGCTGTGGCCGGCTCACCTGTGTGCCTCCGGTGGTGCCGGATGAGCGAGCCTTTGGTGCGGAAGGAGGCCCCGCACAGTTTGCACTCGTGGTCTTTGCGGCTGCTGTGCGTGACCATGTGGGCCTTGAGGATGCTGCCCTGTGAGGGAGGGGCAGCGAGGCTCAGCACCACCCAGCGAGGGAGGGGCTGGAGGCCCGGCTCCCCACCGGCGCCCCCAGGCCCGGGGCCTCACCGTCTTGAAGGTCTTGTGGCAGAGCATGCACACGTAGCGGCCATCCTTGTTCACCAGCAGCTTGACCTGGGCCTGCTCACCCTCCGCAGAGAGCCCGGGCCCCCGCCGGCTGGGGCTGCCTGGGCCCTCAGCCACCACGCTGTCCCCCGGCTCCGCCTCTGAGGCCACAATGACCTCTTTGATGTGTCCGCCTCCTGAGGAAAGGGAGAGCGGCCTGAACCCCGGGATCCACTGGCCCTGCTGCACTCGGATGGAGCCCGAGGACCCTGCTGGGGTCAGGGGGGTCGTCTTGACCGACCCCAACCTGGCATGCGGCACCTGCTTGGCCAGAAGGGATGGTGGGAAGGGGTGCTCCAACTCCACGGGGCAGCCAAGAGGAGCTCCAGGCCTCCGGAAACAGTTAGCCAGGATGTGAACACAGACGCCCTGCCCCCAGCCAAGAGGCACGCAGGACAAGACTTGCACAGGCTTCCTGCCGTCCCCAAGGGCGGCCATGTGCCGGTGCAGAGGCAGTGGAGAGGCCAGCCTGCCACCCTGGCTCCTGCTAACGTGAAGAGGAAATGCCCCTGGGACTGCCCACCAGCATGGGTTTCGAGGCAGGCAGGCCAGGGACCCGCCTGGAGAGCGATCGCTCCAGACATGCCTGGGACAGTCAGGGCGAGGAAGCTGGGCTTTTGCAGCTCTCGTGGGTGTTGAAGAAATGTGACAATGTGCAAAACTAAGCTGTAAACACACTTCACTATTTCTGCTCATGAAGATGACGTGTGGAAAACGGCTATGAAGCCGCTTCTTAGAAACCATCTCACTCAGGCCAGCGAGGTGTTTTGACAAGCCATTCTTCCAAAACAGAATGGAAGCTCCGTGACTCAGAAACAATTAAGGCGTCTGTCACTCCTGCGGGACTGACAGCCTCCCTCCACCCCAGATGCGCATTCCTAAAAGAACAGGGCCTTCCACCGGGCTCTGACCTGAGTCTGACTGTCACACAGCAGACGGAAGGGTTGGAGACAGGGGATCATGGTTGCCCCAGGGCCAGAGATAAAAAGCAAGTTTGGTCTCAGGGAAGAGGCAGGGGGCCTGGAGTGGGTATCTGGAACCTGTGTGGTCCCTGTGAATTATGCACCGGCCCTGCGAGGGCTGAGAACCATCCTGGCATGATGCCAGCAGCTGGCAGCTCAGGACTCTGGCCTGGGCTCCAGATCACTGAGCCAGGGGGACATCTGGGCCACCCAGGACGTCTGCAGAAGGGAAACTCCCAGGGTGCAAGAGAGGCAGGGGGTGCCCAGAGAGGAGCCCCTGGAGCGTAGGGTGGGCTAGCTGGAGGCTGGGTGGCAGGCAGGGCCTCCAGGGTGCCAGAGCCTGGAGGTGCTACCTGAATCTAGGGCATGCGTTTCTCCACATGACACCCTCCCACCCAGAAACCAAATGCCACATCAGGGCTGGAGCGTAGCCCTGCCCAACACATCCACACTCCTGTCCTGGAGGAGCGGCAGGCAAGCGTCCTCGTCCACAGGAAGGTTGGGGGAAAGGCGGCATGGAGACAGGGACAGGTCCCACGGCCTCCCTGGGGAGAGGGAGGATGCCTGCTCTGAGGTCCCCGTCCCCCAGGCCACCTCCATCCCTCTTCCTGCCCCAACTGGTCCCCAGGGCTTCCCAAGGCCAAGTTCTCCCTGTCACCCAAACCTTCCTGGCCAGCTACCAACTTGCATCCCTGCCGCAGCCCCTGCCCGTTCCCTTCCCCACCTCCAGTGGCATCAGGCCAACCCAGCCTCTCCGCTGCCAGGCTCACACCCAGCCACCGGGCCCCTCAGGCTGCCCTTTGAAGGGCCCAGCAGCACGCTCCCTGTCCCCTGTAAAGGGGCATGTGACCCCATCCAGACCTCTCAACGCCCCCTCTCCTCCTGCACATCAATGAGGCACTTCAGCTTTAAAAAGCCATCAAAGAGCCTGACTTGGCGTTGCACGCTCTTAAAAGCCAAAGCCGTGTGGGAATTAGGGTGGGAATTGCCAGAGGGACGGAGCGCTGGGGAGATGACGGCCAGGGTCAGGCAGCAGGTCGGGGCTGAGCCAGGGCGCCCACATGCACCCTGGTCGATCCTCCAGAGCCAACGGTGGGTGGGGAGTAGGAACCGGGGCCAGGGTGGGGGCTGGGAGAAAAGTGGGGAAGATTCGAGAAGGACCAGGGCAGAGAGTCTGGGGATACAGCAGGGGAGAGCAGCCAGCTCGTGGTCTGTGCACAAAGCGAAGATGCCCCGAGGCCCAGCGATCCCCCGGGCTGCCAGGCTCTGGCTCCCCCTTTCTGGGCTTGGTGGGGCCTGGTGCCCAGGGCTCACTCCTCTGGCAGGCCCTGCCCTGGGAAGGCGCACACAGGGCCCCAGCCCCTCCTCGGCCAGGCCCTGCTCCCGGGACAGCAGACGGCCACGGGCAGCAGAGATCCCAGCCCTGCCCATGGACGACTACCGGGTCAGTGCTGAGAAAGCTGCGCGTGCACAGCCACGGAGGGCCAGACCGACTTACCAACTATGTCAGGCGAATGGCTGATGTCTCCCGCGAGCGCTGCCGCCTCCACCACGATGTGGGCCACAGTGATGGGCTCCTCTGAGCCCGCCGCTCCCGCTGCCACCTGCCATGGGGCGGGGGGATGGAGGAGACCCGTCTTCAGGGCTCTAGGGCTCAGCTGTGGGTCCACCTGAGGGCTCGCATCTCCCCCGCAGAGCACTGCTCCCTGTCTGCTCCCAGCCTGAACCCCTCACCCTGGGCCCAGCAGTCAACCCCATCACTCCAATGCCTCCAGCCACAACGGCCCCACGCAAAGCCCTGAGCAGCCAGGGGAGGACTCCAGGATGAAGTGACCAGAAGCTCCAGCACAGCTTCTACAGAGAGGAAGTGAGGACCTCCACCCACCGGCCCAGCCAGGGGGTCAGGGAAAAGGGCTCCCAGGGATGTGGGGCTGTGGGCCCTCCCGAAGAAGAGGACACCCCTGGAAGGGGCAGGAGAGACCACAGGGCAGAGCAAGATGACTCTAGGCCCCGTCCTCGGGCCCCCCGGGGTGACCAGAGGCACTGACTTCTCTCAGAGTGTCCTCACCCACTTCCATAGGCTTAGGATGTCGAGAGTGTCAAGCCCATGAGGGTGCCATGGGTACACACGCTGTGCAACAAAGGTGGCCGTTTTCACGACAGAGCCACACTTCGTTTGTGGGATCCCCGGGAACCTCATGTGTAGGCCAGGAGGGCAGACAGAGGACAAAAGCCATCGTGACGTCCCTGAGTCACGACGGGCCCTAAGGAAGGAGAGACCCCAGGCCCCAAAGCGCAGGCTCCACACAGAGGCTGCTGAGCAGGCCAGCATCCCAGGCCGACCAGGGGAGCCCAGAACACTCCCCACCCATGACCGGATGCCACCCTCTGCCCGTCCCCATGTCAGAAGGACCCAGCTGCACGGGTGTGTCCTGCCACGCCACCACCTCCTCATCCTGCTGTCAGATGAGGGGCGGGGACGTGTGTATGCACACCTGTGTGCAATGCAGGGGGGCTCACCTCCCGACCCAGCAGCGCGGCCGCCGGGGTGGCGGGCAGGGCCTCCTGAGGCACCCGCTGGCAGGCTTTTTGGAGCTTATGCTGAACGAAGTCCTCCAGGGCAGTGAACTCTGCCTGGCAGCGGCCACATCTGTGCACGTCGTCCTCATCTGCAAGGAGCCCACGGTCAGGGGGACTTGGGGGGGGGGGGGGGCTCTGGTCCTAGGCACACCCAGCCAGGGGTGGCATCAGAACCAGGCGCCCATCCCAGGGAGAACTGCACACGGGAGGGGGCAGCCCTGACCATCCACTTGGGCACCAGGGTCCAAAGGTCCTACTTCAGAGAGGAGGGCAGAGAGGCCCAGGGAGCAGGTGGGAGGCAGGGGGATTCAGCCATGCTGGTTTGGGAACTGGGGAGGACCCGGGGTTCACATGTGCCCTTGGGCATCTCAGCAGCCATGTCTGGGTCTGTTTCATCATCTGTAAAATGGTCCGACTTGGTGTGTGTACAGCTCCAGCTGAGAGGCCAGCACCCAGCAAACATGGGAGAGGTGAGGCACCAGGACCCATGCCCACTCTTTCCTCACTCTGACCTGACGCTTCACTGGTTCCAAGCAGGCAACACCTCCCTACCCTGGTAAAGACGCCTGGGGGGGCTTCCCAGAGGGGCTCCACACTCCAGGGCCAGGGGCCATTGCCCCCGAGCCCCTCACCATCTAGGCTGACCAGCCAGTCCCCGCCCCAGGTCCTGCAGGACCTCTGGCTCACTGAGTTCCTTACAATGTGCCAGGCACCTCCCTGGGGATATCACCCAATCCGACCAGCACCCTGAAGAAATGTAAATGACTATTCCCACTCCGGAAAAACAAGCTGAGATCAAGGCTACCCTGCTGGTGAGTGTTGGGGCCAGAACGTAAACCTGAGGGTCTACCCCAGACACCCTGCTGTTTGCACCAAGGGATGGGAGATGTTCCTTCTGTTTTTGTAAAGTCTGTCCATTCCCACCGCCTCATGTGCAATCCCACGTCAAGGTCAAACCCAGGCTGGAGCACAGAAGGAGCCCAGCTGATGCCTACTGAATTAATGAACAAAGGGCCAAACCACAGCCGAGACTCGCCCACAGAAGGCCACCTGGCAAGGGCGGTCACCCCCCAGATGGCACACAGTCACTGGCCAAGCACTGAGGTGCCTCCACCCTCCTAATCCTCCCAGCCCACTCACCGAGTCTGACTCGGCACCAGCGTATTGCCATTAAAGAAATCCCCACCACAAAGGGGAACACTCCCAGCCCTGTAACCCTGAGAGAAAGCCCTGGGCAAGTCCAGCAGGGCACAGCAACCTCCAAAGAGACCCCTGGGTGGGTGGTACTGCCCCTTCGCACGCGAATAAGAAGGAGCAAGGAAAGACGTACTGAGAATACAAACCCTATGGGAATAAAGACCACCGTCCCAGTATCACCAGCCCACCCCTGCCTGCCTGGCCCAGTCTAGAGTCTCCTGGGACAGGCTCAGAGGCCAGAGACCAGAGCTCTGGCTCCGAAAGTCATCAGCGCCCCTGTGAATGCAGCCCTCATGGGTCCCCAGAACTGCTCTCAGAGATGCACGTGCATGCTCTCCTTTGAGTCTCACCACCATCCTACCAGAAGACAGAGCCCCAGAATTTAAGGGAGTGTGTTGAGGGGTCACACAATCCTGGCATCCAAATAATACTTGGTATTAAATAACTGGGTGACCTGGTCATTTTCACATCTTTGAACCTCAAATGTCCTCATCCACGAAATGGGAATAACAACAATAACAATAACAGCATCTAGGGCTGGCTTGAGAATGAAAAAGGCTGAGGCATGATGAGTGCTCCATACATTATCATCAACACCGGTGTCTCCATTCTGTAAGCGGAAATGGAGGCTCAGAGAGGTATGTGGTCACCTGCGCAGGATCAAACAGCTAGAACGTGGCAGGTCTGGGGCTGGGCGGCCTGCTGCTTTGCAGCACTGGGCTCGGCCACCTGCCTGTAGGTGCGGGAGAGACCCGAGGCCCCGCCCTCCCAGAGCCTCAGCCACACCCCGGCCAGGGCCCCGGTGGCCTGTCAGGTGAGGTGGGAGGGGGCGCAGCGGAGGGCAGGGCCCTGTCTAGACGCAGAGACAGAGCGGGGCCGGCAGGCGGTGGAGCCGATTGCCAAAGTCTCCACGGACAGCCCGTGTGGCTCGGACACCAGTGAGTATCCGCGGTGGGCGCAGAAGCCCACGCCGGTGGTGATCGGCGCCCCGCAGGGTGAGGCCCGAGGGCCTGAGAAAACCAGAGGGCTCGTGGAAAGCTATGAGGCGTCCCGCGGAGACCCACGAGATCTGTAAGGAAGCTGGCCTGGGAGGATGTGTCGCGCCCGCAGCTCAGGCCGTCGGGGCCTCCACCAGCCAGGCTGAGCCGCCCCCACCCCGGCCGCGCCCAGCCCTGTGCGGCCCTGTTACCTTCCTCGCTGAAGGGCGCTGGGAGGCCGAGAAAGCCACCAGGAGCCAAGGCTGCCGCCGCCGCCGCGACCCCGCCCTCACCCGCTTCCCGCCCGGCTTCGGCCCGGGCTTCTGCCGTATGCGCGGCCGTCACCCGCACTGCCATCGCGCCCTCCATGTCGCAACGCGCCGCAGGAAGATGGCGGATTTACGACCGTGTCGTCATAACAACGGGCCGCGCCAAGGCGAGCGAGCGAGAAGACGAGAGGTGGACGACGGGGCGGGGCCAGGGCGGGTTTGACGGGCAGGCGGCGGGGCGCCGTGCGAGGGTGTGGCCTAGAGGCGCAGAGGCGGGACCGAGCTCTGAACCAGAATAGCCGGCGGAACTGCCGGGAGACGAGTGGTTACGGTGCAGAAGACTGACAGGCGGAGGGGTGGGGCCACGCCTGAGGATTGAAATGCTGGGGCTGCGGTCCGCGAGCGTCGTTTAGGCTCTAGAGCCTGAGACGGCCAGTTTTGATGGCGGCACCTCCTGCTCGGCCCTGAGTGCTTTCCGCGGCCGGGATTCGAGCTCCAGAGGGCCGCTGCCGGGACACTGCCCCAGATCGGACCGATAGA